CGGCGGGCTTGAGTGAGCGGAGGCCGGAGGCCTAGAGTGAGCGGCAGCGGGCGGGTTAGAGTGAGGAAGGCCGGCGGCTTGAGTGAGCAGAGGCGGACGGGCTTGAGAACAGCGCGGCCGGCGGTCTTGCGGCAACCACATGTGACGACCCCGGGCTGGACTCCGCTTCGTCCACGGTGAAAGCGCTCAGAATTCTGAGAAAACAATCAGAATTGCAAGATGTTAACTCGGAATTCTGAGAGAAAAAAGACAGAATTGTGAGATGTTAACTCAGAATTCAGAGAAAAAAGTCAGAATTTAGATGTTATTTCAGAATTAAGAGGAAAAATGTCAGAATTGCAATATGTTCGCTCAGAATTCCAAGGGAAAAAATCAGAATCGCAAGATGTTAACTCAGAATTCTGAGAAAAAAAACATAATTGTGAAAAATCAGAATTGCGAGATGTTAAAGGGGTCATATGATGTTGCTAAAAAGAACATTATTTTGTGTATTTGGTGTAATGAAATGTGTTTATGCGATTTAAGGTTCAAAAAACACATTATTTTCCACATACTGTACATTATTGTTTCTCCTCTATTCCTTGGGCGGCGTTATGCAAATCTTCCGAGATCGTGATGTAGGTATGTGGGGGCGTGTTAGAACGAGCCGTTTTAGGTAGGCGTGGTTGACTCTTAACTTTTATAAAGAATATCTCTTTGGATTTGAGACTTTAGTCTTTGCAACTTTACAGATCTTCTTTATGCACCAAGAGCTTGTAACACTCCAAAGAGAAAGGAAAAATTGAAATCGCATCATATGACCCCTTTAACTCAGGATTCCAAGAAGTCTTTTCTTTTTTCTTAGAAAAAAGTCAAAATTGTGAGATGTTAACTCAGAATTAAGAGGAAAAATGTCAGAATTGCAAATATGTTAGCTCAGAATTCCAAGAAGTCCAAATCACGAGATGTTAACTCAGAATACCGAGAAAAAAAGTCAGAATCACGAGATGTTAGCTCAGAATTCTAAAAAAAAGTAGTGAGAATTGCAAGATGTTAACTCAGAATTCCAAGAAGTCCAAATTGCAAGATGTTAATTCAAAATGGCAAGATGTTAGCTCAGAATTCAGAGAAAAAAGACAGAATTGTGAGATGTTAACTCAGAATTCCAAGAAGTCCAAATCGCAAGATGTTCGGACTCAGAATTCCGAGAAAAAAGTCAGAATTTAGATGTTATTTCAGAATTCTGACAAAAACGTCAAAATTGTGAGATGTTAACTCAGAATTCTGAGGGAAAAAAAGCCTTAATTGCAGTGTTAACTCAGTATTAAGGGGGAAAAAATCAAAATTGCAAAGAAAAACATCCGAATTGCAAGATGTTAACTCAGAATTTTTATATTTCTATTCCATGCGACAATAAGCTTCCATAGGAAGAGATGTACTCATGAAAAAACGCACCTGTGCTGTCCAACCTCGATAGTAAATTTTCATTTGGATTAAAAGTATAGGCATGCTAGACGGTTTGACGGGGTCAAAGCTTTAAACACGGCATTATGGGATTGATTTTTTTTTGTTTTTGATGGAGAGAAGGGGGCGTATTCCACTGCGTTAAAAGCTTAATGGCACTCCCCAGACAAGCCTCAAACAAGGGTAATGTAGACAGAATTAAATGACTCTGTCTAATTAATTAGAAGAGCGGAGGCTGGTAAGAAACAGCAGTGGCTTCTCATTAGACCGAGTTTGCGAGTCTCTGGAGAGTGCTGGTTTGGAATATTATCCGGTGCGAGCGGCATTTCCCAGCAGGCTCTGGTTGCTGACACATGAACGCACTCAACCGCCCGTTGTTAGCGTGGTTGCTGTGTTTCTGCATTGTGTTCCCTCAAAAAAACACAAGAGGAGAGGATCACAGAATAATTAAACACACCCACTTTGAAGTCTGTTTTCTCTCCTCGGGATGTGATTCTTTTTCAGGATTTGTTGTTGTTGTCACTCTGACCCAGAACTTAATGGACGCGGCGCACGCCTGTTAAAGCGTGTAACGCCTACAGTGTGAGCATCAAACAGCAACTCAGCAAATATCTTGTATATCTCGCCTTCCCTCTGTATCTGGGATAATCTCTTATCTGATAACAAGGTCTAGTCAAACTGTGAATCATTTGGACTAGAGCTTTTCAACCAAGTCTGATTAATTTGATTCATTCAAGCTGTTATTTGATTCTTTTGGTGAATCAGTTGCTAATATAAGCAGATGTAATTCAACTTCAGTAAATTCTCCCACAACGCAGCCTACATAGTCAGTCCTTCGTATCATTCACTCTCACTCACTCATTGCTTTATTCCTGTCAGTCATGTCACAGTGTCAGTTGTGTACTGCAGCACTGCGCTTGTTACATATTAGAGCAGAGTTTTTATGTGTGCTTCTGTCTCTCTCTCTGCTCTTCCTCTTGCATGGCTGTGTCTGTGTCTTTGAAGTCTAGTGTCTGCTTTAATGAGTGTGTACTTCAGACTTGTTCAGCCCAAACAGCACTAGGTCTGCTGTCCTGAGGCCACTCCGCTCTCTCTTTCACCATCCCTCCTTTCCTTTCCTTTTCTTTTCTTTTCTTTTCTTTTCTTTTCTTTCCTTTCCTTTCCTTTCCTTTCCTTTACTTTTTTCTCTTTATTTTTTTGGCCAATTCTTGTTTTTCTGTTATTATTCTCATTCCTTACTTCCTTCTACCTTTCTTTTTCCTTTCCTTTTCTTTTCTTTTCTTTCCTTTTCTTTCCTTTCCTTTTTTCTCTTTATTTTTTTTGGCCAATTCTTGTTTTTCTGTTATTATTCTCTCATTCCTTTCTTCCTTCTACCTTTCTTTTTCCTTCCCTTACTTGTTCTTTCTTTCTTTCTATTGTCTTTTTTCCTTACTTAAGATGCTCATTTCACTATTCCTTCCTTCCTTCCTTTCTATCTTTTTCTTTCTTGCTTCCTTTTTTTAAAATTACGCCTATATGCTTCCTTCCTTGTTTCTTTCTTTTATTCTTCTCTTCCTTCTTTCTGTCCTTCTTCCTTCTGTCCTTCCTTCCCTTTTTCGTTCTTTGCTTCCATTTACTTTGTTTTCCTTCCTTCCTTCTTTTTTATTAATTTTCTTTGTATTTCTCTTTTATTTTTTCCTTTGTTCTTTCCTTGTTTCTTTCTTTCATTTACTTTCATCTTTCTTTCTTTCTTTCCTTCCTTCCATCCTTGATTTGTTTCGTTTTCTTTCTTGCTTCCTTTTTTTATTTAGGCCTACATATCCTTCCTTTCTTGTTTTTTTCTTTTATTCTAACCTTCTTTTCTTTTTTCCTTCTTTCCTTCCTTCCTTCGATCATTCCTTCCTTATGTCTTTCTTTCGTTCTTTCTTTCTTTATTTCACTTCTGACTTTCCTTCCTTGTTTGTTTCTTCTGTCCTTACTTTCTCCCTGTTTCTTTCTTTCTTTCTTTTTCTTCCTTCCTTCCTTCATTACTTTTCTCCTTATTTCTCACTTTTATTTCTTCCTTCCTTTCTTCCTTCCTTCCTGCATTACTATTCTCTTTATTTCTGACTTTTTTTCCTTCCTTCCCTGTACTTCTGTTTCTTTCTTTCTTTTTTCATTTACTTATATCTTCCCTTTCTTGTTTCTTTCTTTTATTCTTTTCTTCCTTCCTTCTATCCTTCCTTTCATTTCCTTCCTTCCTCTCGCTGTCAGTCACACTCTTTCTCGAGTTTGAATTTTAAAATGCTGACACACCAAACAAGCGCCTCTGCGACTGCCTGACGCAACAAGCCCCCCGAGTAAAGCAAGCTATCAGCGCACAGAGAATAGGCAGTCTGACATAGACACCCTCAATAGCTCCAAGGTGCTTCCAGCCCATTTACCCGGCAGAGCAACAGAGATAAAGCACAAGAGAGGCTGAAAATCAGGTCGCCGGACAGAGCAGGGGCAATAATACTTCCGTCCATCAGCAGGCCAGACCAGTAAGGCTCTGTGTGTATGTGTGTGTGTTCATAGGCTTTTCAAGTGAGCCCTGCCAGAGTTTCTGAAGCGGTTATGGAGGCATCAAAGACAAGCGCCGCGGTGAGTCACTGTCTGCCTTTTACAATCTATGTACTGGATGTGTGCAAGACAGCGTTTCAGGCCATAGACGGGGCGTGCGGGACGTGCAGGTGGACAGGGTCAGGCTGTATCACATATGCATGAATAGCCAACAACACAAAACAAGAGAACATAAAGGCTCTGTTCTCGCTTTTGTATGCCGATGTTGTTGTTCCCATCGTTCCTGCTTTTCAGTCCGCTCTGGCTTCTTTTTTGTTTCCTCTCATGTCATTAAAATCAGCTGTTCATCTCAGCGCCGTGTTCATGTCTTCGCTTCATCACTTCGTACAGCTGCTCATGTAGCATGGTGGGGTGGCTCTCTTTGAGTTGTCGCTGCGATTTCCCTCTTTATCTTTCCAACTTGTGTTGTAGTGAAGCATGTGCTACTCTTTTAACTAATTACACAGTTCTCCGCCTCTCACCATTGTGATTCAACACCAATGAAATTCAACACCCTCATAAATCCTTTGTATGTAGTGTTAAACTCCATTACTCTATGATATGGGACAGTACCTCATCTTCCCTTTTTCATGAGCTAAACAAACACAAGCGGTCTCACAGTGACCCAAACTCACCAGTTCTGACCTCAAACCTCTTATTAAACTTTAATTGCTACAAACCTGTTTCTACAAAGTGTGCACTAGAGCTCATGAATTAGGACACCCTACCCCCAGTGTGAAAGTCTCAGCCCAGCGCACACAGTTTCTCGTTAGTGACGATTAGTGGTTGTGATGTGGAACTAATTTGCTGTTAGTTGCTTGTTTTGAATCTAATCCGTCTTTGTGGGATCTCTGTGGACTCTGTATCATTTATCCATGCGCACCTACACTAACATTATCATCCGCACAGTGTTTTTCCTTAATTCGTGAAAAAGACAGATCGGGAGCATTGGGGAAAAGAATCTGCTGCCCTCGAAAAACAGTTTTAATCCCTTGAAAGCAGATGTATTATGAGATACAGTTTTCAGTTCCAAATATAGAAGCCTGTTTTCAAGCACTGCATTTTGGAAGTGGATGTGTATTTATTTTAAAGGGATAGTTCATCCAAAAATTACATTTGTCATTTATTCATCTTCACATTGTTCAAAACCTGTTTGCTGTTGTTTTTAATAATTTTAATGGCGTAAAATTCATATATTCTAATTGAGTTGTACACTATTATTACAATTGAAAAATGTTGTTTTCTGTTTCAGTATATTTTTAAATGTAATTGTGATTCCATTACTCCAGTCTTCAGTATCACATGATCCTTCAGAAATCAATATGCTGATTTGGTGCCCCAAAAATTCTATATTGTTACTTTTTATCAATTTAATGCCTTCTTGCTGAGTAAAAGTATGGTTTATTTATTTATTTATTTTATGGTATATCTCATATCTTGATGGAATAAATGGAAAAGCTTGACAGAAAGAGTGATTCATTTCATTCTGTCTAAATGCCATGTATCTGCCATTCCAACAGCAAACCTTGGGGAATAACTTAACCAATCTGGTGAAGAGGAACAGTGAGCTGGAGAACCAGATGGCCAAACTCATCCAGATTTGTCAACAGGTGGAGGTGAGTCCAGGCAAATTTATCATTATATATCACCATCATCATCATACTCCCTCACTTGTTATTTTCCATAAATTAATTAGTTTGCAGTTTATTTTTAGTGACAAATGGTTTGTTGCCCTTTTGAGCTACAAATGCTTGTCAGAGGTTCAAGGCTGCTGCAGGGATGCAATTACAAAATGTGAAGAATAATGTATATATATGAGATTTCAAATTTGTATATGATTGTTGCAGTTATATAGATGTATGTATGAATGTTTTATGTAATTGTGTGTCTGTTTTCCTCAAGTACCAATGAATGTTTTGTTTTAATTCACAGTCCAGTGTGTCTGTATAGGCAGCTTTTGCATGGCTTGTATTGACTTGAGTTCTGCATTGACGTTCATTTTCTGCTGAGGCTAGAATAGCCTCCAAGAGTGTATCAATATGAATGCAGATTGGTAAATGCTTTTCTTGTGAATAAAAGAGAATAGCACTATAGATACACTCATTCAGTAAAATGCACTCATGATCAGTATAAGAGAAAGAACCTTAAATAGGCATCATAGTAGGTGTCTGAATCATAAAGTTTTCCTACTACACAGTTTAATAGAGTTGCTCGTACAAGCAGAAAATTATTTAGTTGTATTTTATACAACTAAAGGGGTTCTCCTATTTATTAATATTTCACTGTGGTTTATCATTAAATGTGACTTTTATGCAGTTGCAGGAAAAAGTATTACCTGGATTCCTGTATATATTTTATCTAAACAGAAACACACAATCTGCTCAAGCATGTATTATACACACAATGATAGATTTACATGAAAAGTGGGAAATGTATGTGAATCCCTGAGGTAATATCTTAGCTAAAGCTTATGTAGAATCTAATTATTGAGGCAAGATTGGAAGTGCTGATCAGGGTAAAAAAACATTGAGATTGCTATTCACTAGACGTATTGCCTGAGGTGAAACATACCTTGAACAAAAGAGATGTCTGAATGCTGAAGATTAAGAATTGTTGACTTAAAGCAGAAATATCTCCACATGTTACTCATCAGTCCACAGTGAGAGAAATTGTAAATAAATGGAGAAAGTTCAGCAGTGAATGCTCAGTGATGTCAAGAAGACTCATAGAGTGTCAGCTTAAAACTTGCAAAAATATACATACAGTAAGTTTCAGGGTTGTTATTAAATTGCATGCCTTTTCCCTATAATTCTGTGAAAGTTTACATGGTTTGCACAATAATGACATGAAAACACATCATTTGTTATTTAAGTAAAGTGTTTTTCCATTGTTTAATTGTTAATTGTTTGACAAATTTTTTCAGAAATCGATGATAAATCACAGCGTTTACACACTTTTTCCCTACAAGATTAACATATATTACGTATATCAATCTGTATCTATCTATCTATCTATCTATCTATATATATATCTATATATATATATACAGTATATACATAGAATCTTTTTAAAGAATATTTTTTAAATTACAACAATCAAAATAAAAACATGATGCAAAAAATGTGAAATATTATACCTGTTTACCTGCATGTCATGTGACCATGTGAATAGTATGTAATTACAAGTACTTAATTTTTGGAACCTGATTACGTAATCCAGATTACATGTGATCGGTTACTAGCACTATATATATATATATATATATATATATACAGTGGGTACGGAAAGTATTCAGGGAAAAAAAATTAACTTAAATGATTTTAGCAAATGGCTGCAATATAACAAAGAGTGAAAAATTTAAGGGGGTCTGAATACTTTCCGTACCCACTGTATATGTTTGTATATATTCATTCTTTGTAACTTTCTATTCATCAAAAAAATAATGAAAAATGAATATTCACTGATCGCAAAAAATTTAACAGCACGACTGTTTTCAGTATTAATAATAATGAAATTATTATATTATATTATTATATTATTAAAAATAATAATGTGTCTTGAGGAGCAAATCAGCATATTAGAATAATTTCTAAAAAAAAATGTGATACTGAAGACTGTAGTAATGATGCTGAAAATTCAGCTTTGCCATCATAGGAATTAATTCCACTTGAAAATATATTAAAATTGGAAAACACTTATTTTAAATTGTAATAATATATTACAATATTACAGAATTTACTATATTATTGGGCAAAAAAATACAGCCTTGGTGAGCATTTTAATTATTGTTACCACCATGATGTTACATGTTCATATATTTGCAGCCACAGCTTGGTAGTGATGTGACATATTTATGCACACATGATAAACAGTCCTTTTGAAAGTCAATTAGTACCCTTTATCTTTAAATCAGAGCTTATTAAAGGCACGACAAACAAGGCACCAGGGATATATTTAGGCCTTTACTTGATGTCACCTTGAACATCGGCTGAGCGAGTTACTCCAAATATGACTCAAGATCAGCACTAAGACATCAGGCACAAGGGAAATTCATATGCGAGCGTCCTTTTTAATGACTCTGTCAGGATGGTTGTCCTTGCTGTTTGAGAAAAGAAAGCAGGTGACAAGGCATTGTTACTTCATTAGCTGAATCAGTCTTGTTGAACCCCAAGGGGACTGCATGCGTAGCACGTCTCTAACCTCAGCTGAACCGCACATAAAAAACTTCTGCATACCACCGGCTGCTTTGAGCACTTGAAGAATGTAGCTCACACCTCAGCTGAGAGAGTTGGAGGCCATACATTTTAAAGCATTTAAAAACAGCTTTCTGCAGTAAATCCCCAGCTGCATATAATATATTGAGTCGAACACTCTCAAGGTGATTTAAAATGGTTAAACCTATCCGAAATAAATAAAGTATTAACTGCATCCCATGGCGTTTTCTCCTTAATTATTAAAATCTAGATCAATTATTCAAGACTGACTGTTGTAAGAATGTTCACCAAACAGCTTGTCAGTCATCAGAAGAACGTCTTCTTTGTGACCAGGCCCTCTGTGTCATGTTTATTGGAAAGCCACAGTTAATTATTGAGGACCAAATGAATAAGTAAGCCAGATTTCAGGGACACTGCAAATTAAATGTCTTGGAGATGAAATGCTGAATGTTTGACCCAAAATCCCTCAGCTGTGAACTTTGGTCCTCCTTAAAGCTGGCAAGAACAGGAAATGTGCATCAGTTTTGATCCTCAAGCAGCCAGTTAAATTATAGTATGTTGCTTTTCATACTTGTAATCATGATAAAGTGCATTTATGTGCTTAAAGGAAGGTTGCAGGTTCAGTATAAGTTCAGATCTGTCATCCCTGTAAAATGGTGATTTAAACAACTTTACAACTCAACTTGTGAACATTTTGTAATAGAATGGATTAAGTAAATGAGATAAAAATACACCTTTCACATTTCTAATTAAGAGATTAGAGCCAAAAAATTAGGAGTTTAAACAAACATTAAAATTGTTATTTATTGACTTATTCCAGACCTCCAAACCTGCATGACTTTCTGTCTTCAGTGTAATGGCATATTTTATTTTATTTGCTCTGTTCTGTTTAATTCCTTGACTCTGGAGAACACTGAGATGGTAAAACTTGTGTAAAACTCATATTTATTAATATTCTCTTTCCTCCATACTATATATGGGTATGACCCATTAAGATGTCAGTCAGCGAGTGCATCATCTGGAACGCATTACTTTCTATTTTAAGGGTCACATCTGTAAATATCTGAAAAACGTCTCAAAGCAGATTCACACGCTCTGTTGTGAAACATCTGCAATATCATTCTAGCATTCAACAATGAATGAATGCAATGTATTGCAGATGCAAACTCTTAACAAATGACGTCTTCCAGATGAAAACACAAATCAAATAGACCCTTCGGCATTCGTGCAGCATCAGAGGAACATCTGCAGAGATGTTTACAGGGGTCTTTGTAAGCATTACGTGAAAAATAGTGTCCATGGCAAGGTTTTCGATGGACTCCATTAGACAAAAGTGTCCCTGCTAACAGTGAACAGTGAAGGAAATGTCCTGAGAGAGTCTGTGTATAAATAACTCACGAGTGATGCTGTCAAGGGACCAAAGGTGTCTGGGGAACTTTGCACTTTCAGTTGGGAATTTCCATTTTTACCTTTGGTGATTTTAAGCCTGGATTCCATCACTTCCTTCTTTGACATTCCAGGTTCCCTCTCTGGGCCGCTGTGGGTTATTAGCCCTGCGGTGCAAAGGGCCGCTTTGTTGTGTTGCTGTTCCACCGAGTAGACATGTGTGCAGCAGTGTGGTGAGGGCCGCCACGCTGTGATGCATATGCCTCTCCCTCATCCATTTTTAACAGGGCCACTTGGACTCTTCAGCGATGAGGCAGGCCCCATAGGAGCGTCTTGTACAGCCGTGCACTTAGAGCACTCAGACCTGCCCCATCTGTCAGCATACGGGCAAGATGCACATTAATCAGAGCTGCCACAAAAACAGACCTCTGCTCAGTAGCATCTGTTCAACAGCACTTAGATTGTTTATGTACCCAAAGTGAACCGCTGGAGCTCATTAACGTCCTTTTTATGGTGGCCAGTGTCTTTCCCGCCCTGTGGATTAACAGATTAAAGATGTGGCAATATGAAGAGATAAAGGTCAGGAACTGATGAGCCTTGTCAATAATGAGTCTCGCGCAGTCATTACATGCAGCGCACACGAGCATCTGGGCTTAATCCGAAAAATAAATTGCTGAAGTGTGTGCAGACATTTTTGAGTCTTTTTTTATTAAATGTGCAAAAAAGTATTTTTTTTCCTCAGAGCCTATGCTGGTGGAATAAGACATGGCAAAAACATCATTATTTTGACTTGTTTTCTTAGTGTCTAACACAGTTTTGCTTCTTAAGTAAATGTATCTTGGTGTAAGGATCTTGAGATATTTTTACAGGAAAAAAGACAAAAAGTAGTGTTGATTTTTACTTCTGGGTTTTTAAAATTTTTATATTTTGGTTATTTTTTATTTTAACTTGGATGCGATTAAGCGCGATTAATCGTTTGACAGTACTAATATATATATATATATATACTAGGGCTGCAACAACTAATCGATAACATCGATTATTATCGATAATGAAAATAATCGACAACGATTCTCATTATCGATTAGTCGGGTCTGCCCACGGTGCACGTCCAACTCCAGCCGGTCACGTCAAATTACAGCACTGAATAGCGCATTACGGACAAAATGCATCTAAAAATAGTGGAGGAAACAGAATGAGATGCTGCGGGAGAAGTACGTGATCCAAGCTGCCCAAAACTTAAGAATTCTTTATTTTAAGCTTTAACCTAACGCATTAGCGTATGGCGTAGGCTATAGGCTTGCCCTGTCCTGCGCTTTGACAGATGCATGTTCGTCCTCAGCGCAAAAACTTTCAGTTCACGGTCATATCCTTATCTGTAAATGTAACAAATTCACGCGAACACTTCCACTTTTGCAAAAAAGTCCGTTCTGATAGTAAATCTTTACTGAATGAGCGCTGGCACGGCGGGCGCGTGGACGCGCGTCAGACAGACGGAACAACACAGTAGAGACGAGACAACGAAGTTAATAATACTCAGCGCAAAAACATTAATTGTGCTGAAATATCTGTTGTTGATATATAAAAGGTATAAATAAGGTTTTTAAATGAGGTTTAAAAGTCAACATGTAGTGCACGTATTTTATGAGAGTAGGAACTGTAAAGGGATACAGCGTGTAATTCTGAATATAAATATCAGATGCTTCATAGTCGCCTTTTACAGGATAAAGAAATGACATGTGATCAAAGTGGACGCGTGTTCCTGCAGAACATTACTCTTGGCAGAATGTGGAAGTGTTTTTTGTCAAAAAAAGAAAGAAATGAGAAGATCTGATTAATCGATTAATCGGAAAAATAATCGGTCAACTAATCGATTATCAAAATAATCGTTAGTTGCAGCCCTAATATATACCTATTTTTATTGCATCGTTAGAATGTTCAATATTCATCCAACAGAGATGACATTGTTGTAATATTTGTATACTAAAATTGTCTTTGTTTTTCTTTTTTACGTCTATTTATCCTTCAGTATATTGTATTACAATCCATTTGATCATCTTTAGCTTTCTTTGTCCATATTTGGAAATATTACTTTTTGAACTATCATAATACTTCAATGCTATTCTTTTGCTGCATTTCAAGCACTGGTTTTCCTTTAGGAATGCATGTCTAGTTTATTATGTGGCCTACAGTGCACAACGTCGCAAAGACACTAAGTTACATTGCTAAATTGTCCCCATGGAGCAATCTAGAAACTGCATCTCCATTGCTTCACTTTTATGCATTGCAAATGCAGTTTTGAATACCCTGACTTGCTCCTTTGAGACTATTTTGCAACCTTACATTTTGCCACTTAACAACTACTTAACATTTCAGTTACCAGCCTTAACCACGATATAAAGTTTTTAATGAAATCTGTGTTAAACTCCTTTAAAGATTCAGCATTAGTGTTTGTAAGGGAGTTCAGACTAAATCACCTGTTAATTTTTTTCTATTTCAGTACAGAATCCCAATCCACAATGACGCAGGATTGTTGTAGATCTTTTCTGAGTGTCCAATAAACATTAATCCAATCCAAGACAGTCTAAATGCGTAGACAAAACGTCTGTGCACAGCAGCACACTTTAAAGGTGTCAGCATGAATCTGCCAGGCGAGTCAGCCTTCAGGGTCTTTGCTGACTTACAGCAGGCCGGTAGGGTGCGGGCGCCACAGTAAAGTGGGGTCACACATCACATTCATACCAACCTCAGAAGAGTCCTTTATAGTCCCAAGAAAAGCTACGGGAATGTATTTAATCCCTGGTGGAAGGATGATGTGTTAAGAGGTCTGATAAGGAACATATCAATAGCAGGAGTTGTCCATCACTGCACTCGTCCACTGAGCCAGAGCGCTCTGAGATGGTGGCGAAGAGAGAGAGTTTGCTTTGCTTCAGACTAACCATATGTGTCCGCTGGCTCGTTTTTATTCTACTCTCTAGGGTAGCTGAGTGGTTGGATTTTTTGCATTTTTGCATTTTATTTTCTTAATATAACGATGACTACACCATAAAATGGTTGTAGTTTTAACTGTAAATAACTGTGAAAATGCTACAGTTAATTGGTTAACAATAAGTTATCTTATTCTATATGGAACGAAAAACTGAAATAGATCTAATTTCATGTTATTTTACAGTAAAATACTATTAAATATACAGTTTTTGGAAGTGAAACAGAACAAGTCATCTCCTCATTTACAGTGAAAAATTGTAAATTGTCATTCCCAGAATTCTCTGTGACAACAGTTGACAGTTTTTCATGACTTAAGTTTTTTCTCTTCTCAGTTATATAAAACCTGGATTTATTTTGCATCTTATGCTGTTAAATTAATGTTTATTGCATTATTTCAGTGTCATGTGCGTTACCATGATGGTGTTTTGTATTAGTGTATTTGTTAGTATTTACCTCAGCTCATGAAAAAGCTACTTGTGTGATGAACTTTGATTCATCATGTGGCTTTCTCTTTACTACCTGTATTTTTAACACTAGAACCACCAGAGGTCGCTGTATACCTAAAAGCACCGAATTTACCCCGTGGCGGTTCTAGTGTTAAAGGAACAGTTCACCCAAAAATGAAAATTTGCTGAAATTTACTCACCCGAGGCTCAGGACATCCAAGATGTCAATGAGTTTGTTTGTTCATCAGAACAGATTTGGAGAAATGTAGCATTTCATCACTTGCTCACCAGTGGATCCTCTGCAGTGAATGGGTGCCATCAGAAAGAGAGTCCAAACAGCTGATAAAAACATCACAAAAAAACACAAGAAAGATTCAGTAAATTCTCATTTTTGGATGACCTACTCATTTAAGGTGGTTGTCAATATATTATACAGGTAAAAAAAAAATATATATATATATATATATATATA